TGACATTCTGGTGCTTTGGCCTAGGAACAAGTTCCCATATTTTATTCCTTTCAAACTGAGTAAGCTCTTCTTGCATTGCATTGATCCAGTCTGAGTCTGCAAGAGCTTCTTCAACTGTCATAGGTTCCATCTGAGATATGTAGCAGGTAAGCATTGCTTCTCTTCTAGATGTGGATCTGGTTTGAACTCCACTTCTGATTTGACCAATTACTTGATTAGGAGGATGATCTCTTAACCAAGTTAGATCAGGTACAGATAGGGGTTGTCTTGGATTCTCTTGATCTTCTTCTGATTCTTCATCACTCTCTTTGCCTTGTAGAATGGGATTCTGATGGTGAATTGGTATGGCAGAGTTAGTTAGCAACTCTGGTGTATCCGTCTCTGGTGGATCCAGTTCAGGTGATTCTTCTAGATTTGCTTTCTCCAAGTTTTCAGTTATGCTTTCAACTGAGTTGAGGTCATCAAACTTGACATGAATAGATTCTTCAACAAGTAGAGTTCTTTTGTTGAGTATTCTATAGGCTTTACTGGTGCTAGAGTAGCCTAAGAATGTTCCTTCATCAGCTTTTTCTTGGAACACCTTGAGGTGATCCTTCCCATTGTTGAGTATATAGCATTTGCATCCAAATGCATGAAAGTAGCTGATGTTGGGTTTTCGTCCTTTCCATAATTCATAAGGAGTTTTCTGATGAGTCTTGTGAATCATGCTCCTGTTCTGGGTGTAGCATGCAGTATTGATTGCTTCAGCCCAGTATCTGTAGGGTAGACCTGATTCAGCAATCATGGTCCTTGCAGCTTCCTTTAAGGTTCTATTTCTTCTTTCTGCAACTCCATTTTGTTGAGGGGTTCTGGCTGCAGAGAGTTGATGCATTGTACCATTCTGGTCACAGAAATCCTGTATGACCTTGTTGACGAACTCTGTTCCTCTGTATGATCTGATGGCTTTGACTTTCTGATTTTGCTCATTCTGTAATAGCTTTAGCAGAGATGGCAGTTTCTGCAGAGTTTCATTTTTCTTGGTCAGAAAGATAGTCCATGTGAATCTGGAGTAGTCATCCACCATGACTAAGGTGTATCTTTTGCCACCAACACTTGGAGTTTCCACTGGTCCACATAAATCCATGTGGATTAGATTCAGAGGACCAGTAGATAGGTTTCCAGCAATGGGTCTGAATGAGTTCTTCACTTGTTTTCCTTTCTGGCATGCACTGCACAAGTTCTCCTTTTTGTATACAAGGTTGGGTAGACCTTTAACAATGTGATCCCTTGCCAGTTTGTTGATTGTTTTGAAATTCAAGTGGCTCAGTTTCTTGTGCCATTCCCAACTGAGTTTTGAATCTCCTTTGGCTATTAGGCAAATTCCATCTTTTGCGGTTGACCAATCAACTACATAGATGTTTTTCTTCCTTGTTGCTGTTAGAACCACTTCTTTAGTTGTCTCATGCTTGACAGAGCATCCTTCTTTGGAGAATTCAACTGTGTAGCCTTTGTCACAGAATTGGCTAGCACTCAGCAAGTTGAATTTCAGTCCTTTGACATAGGAGACATCATCTATGATTATCTGGTTCTTTATCAGCTTCCCTCTTCCTTTTGTCTGGCCATCTTTATCATTACCTCCAAAGGTAACTTTAGGCCCTTTGACTTTCTGGAAATCTGTTAGGCAACTCTTGTCACCTGTCATGTGCCTGGAGCATCCACTATCAATGTACCAATCTTGCTCAGAGATGGCTCCAGCACACAGTTCCTACAAAATTAAAAGGAAGATTTAGGTACCCAAGCAATGTTGGGTCCTAGGGGGTCATGCAGTCTTGGCAGCCGGTACCACTTTGGTCTCATCAAGTGAAACCTTGGTGGGTGGTACCCATTGTCCACCTGGTAGTCATAATAAACGGAAGTGTGATTCATTTTGGGCAGATGCTTGTGAGGAACATGCTTCCGGTTTACATACTTCTGCATAGCCTTTTTAGTTGGGTAGAAGTCCCATATACTATCAAGATCAGAGGGGCGATTACCTTTGGGCTTCTTAAGTTGACCAGCCAACCTTTTCTGCCTAAAGTTAACTTTCTCTTGATATATGCCTTTCTGGTGATCATTTCTGACATGATTATCATGAGTTTGTCTGTTATGGTTTTGTCTTTGATTTTTGGTATTCTGAAAATCTTTCCTGTTGTTAGGTCTTCTGCCAGGTTCATTAACTTTTAAAATGGGTTTCTGTTGAACCTTTATCTTTTCCTTTTCTGGTCTGACATTCTCATGAATAACCTTGGTGCCAGATACACCAGCCTGACAAATGGGGCTAGAAATCAGTGGCACTATGACCTTGTCTGCCTTAGCAACTCTGGTGCTAGGCATTACAGAAGGCTCACCTGATTCTGTTGAGCCATAACCAAGACCAAAACCAGTGCCAATTTGTTGGTCAAGTACAATCTTTTCCATGGAAGACTGGGCCTTCTGGTAAGCTTTGTTCTTAATCTCAAGAGGCTCTATCTCTCTTATTCTCTTTAGAAGAGAACCATTTTCAGCTTCCAGCTGATCTCTTTCCTTAATTAGAAGATTGATTTTGATCTCAACCTCCTTTCTTAAGTCAAGGATTTCAACCTTAAGCTTACTGTTTTCTTCTTTAACAGAAGAATAAGTGGTTTGTATGGCTTGAAACTCTTCCCAAAATTCTGACATTGAATCAGAATCAAAGGCTCTGCCTACCGAAGAAAAACTAGAGTTGGAAGTAGAAGATACCTCATCATCAGATTGACCCATAAGGCATAGGTCTTCAGTTTCTGTGTCCAGGCAACAGAATGCTTCATCAGATTCTGATTCCGAGCTGGACTCTGTCTCAGAGAGGGGGTCCTTCTCTGGTTGTTCAGTGATGAGTGCTTTCCTTCTTCGGTGCTCGTATGTCTTTTCTCCTTCCTGGCCTTGCCTTTTGGAGACTATGGGGTGTGGACAATTGACTTTGAAGTGCCCTGGTTGTCTGCAGTTGTAGCAGAGAAGCTCTCCACTACTTTCTGATGGTTTGGACTTCTGGTGTGGCTTTGTTACTGAGAACATAAGATTCTTTGAAAGAGTGTTATCCATAATATGAGATTAAAGAGGCTAAAACAAGTGGATCTCTTGTTTAGTAAGTAACCTAAAAGATTACAAGAACAAGGAGGCTCTGATACCACTTGTTGGTCCCGTTTGTAATGGAAACAGTCTAAAGGGGGGGGGGGGTGAATAGACTGTTTTAGGAATTTAAACTTTTCTCCAAGTCAAGTCTGAATTCACAGAGATGGTCCAAATCTGGTGACAGAGATGGTTAAGTTCTGATGGCAGAACTAGACCAGGCAGCGGATAAGTTTCTGTCCGGGTAGCCTCTAGAAGAAAACTAAGGCAAGGTGCCTTTCTGATAACTCTGAAGGAAGATCTGCTGGACACAGAGTCCAACCTTAAGAGTTAGTCAGTAGAATCTTAAGTGCAGGAATTAAAAGCTTAAAGTAAATGACACCGGGGTTTTTATAGTGGTTAAAGGAACAACTTGTTCCTCTAGTCCACTATTCCACTAAGCTTGTAAAAACAACAGTTTACAACGCCTTAGTCCCTAGAGCTTAAGAAGCACTCCTCGTCTTCTTCAAGTCTAGTTGCCACCCGGGATGCAGTCCTGCTTCCTGATGGCTGATCTCGTTTCACTAAGTCTCTTGAAGTATCCCCACTTCACTTACTCCAGCTAGTTTGAGACGTCCCTTCTTTTTCAAGAAGTCTTTGATATAAAATAAGTTTTCTCCAACGTTGCTTCTTCACAAAGGATAGGTATATGAAGCTTTCGAAGTGTTGAAGAACTGAGTAACTTTGCAGTTTGCTAGTTGGATAAAGGATAGGAAAGTATATCTTCCAACTGGAGCCTTTCCTTGTCTGAGAATGAAGTTTTAATCTCAAGAAGGTTGTTTACGCAAATTTATCTTGGCAAAGTTATTTTTCTTAGTTCTTCAGATTGTATCTTTTATACTGGGAGCAGTCTTCCCGTTGGAGTGTAGAAGACAGCTTCATTAAATGCATGTACTGTTGACTTGACCGTTTGGTCCTCCGACTTGCTATTTTGGGGGCGTAAAGATACTCGCATGGTCAATCATCAGCTTTAAATATCTCTTCGTACGTACAACATTAAATGTGCATTTAATGCGTGTACAGTGCCATGCTTCCGTTGAAAGGTTTGTAACCGTTAGGGGATTTCCCGTTAGTTTAACGACCATTGGAAGGGCTTCCGGAATCTGGTGGATTTAGCAGAGTCTGAAGAGGTTCTCTGGTCCAATCTCTGAAGTCCGTCTCTGTTGCCAACTTTGGTATCTTCCTGATAACCAGTTTCTGATGGCTTCTCTGGTGAGCAACTCTGGGAGCAACTCTGGTAGAGGCAAGATGGAACTCTGGCAGGCAGACTAAGCTAAAACTTACAAAAGAAATTCTAATACACAATTTCTAATGGGGTACTTTCAAATTCTAATAAACCTAGCATCATCAAAATCTAAATACATTTATTCCTTACAGAGACTAAACATGATATAAAAATATAAGAAATGCTATTCTAAACTGAGCTTAGGAGTATAGAAGAAGGGATGATTTTAGAGAAGAAAAAGAGTGCTATTTATAGGTGTTTTTCAACACCTTTGGCCGGGTACCCGACCGGGTCAAGTGCTTACCCGACCGGGTCCGGTCAAAATCAAATATTTCACCACGTTCTGGTGATCTTCGCACACCGGGTTGTCCCCGGTCACTTCTCACCCGACCGGGTGAGGTATGGGGCCCGACCGGGTCCAGCTCTTTCCTCAGTGGTTCAGTTTTCAAATCAGACCCGACCGGGTGAAGTTTCCTACCCAGTCGGGTATTTGCTCCTGGACAGTCAAAATTCCTTTTTCTTCACTTCAACATCCTCCTTTCCAACATCTTAATTCCTAATTCTACTTTACAACTTACAAATGAGAACTAAAATACAGTTACAACTAAAATCACACAAATGTTTACAAACTAAATAAAACGTCAAACAATCACCATCAATGAAACATAAAAACATATAATTATGCACTACTAATTAGTGTGCATCAAACACCCCCACACTTAAACCTTTACTCGTCTCGAGTAAATCAAATCCAATCCAAGAAGTCCTTTTAAAAATGACAAGAATATCAACTCAAAACATCCAAGAGTGTTTCTACCACAATATAAAGCATCCCCAACAGTAATTAAAGTAAAACGGGGTCTTCAACTTCATCTTTATCTCCATTTTTCTTTTAAGCTTATCACCTTCAGGATCCTGCAAAATAGATATTTATCTCATTCTCTCATTTTGCCTAGGTGCCCTTTCAGGTTTTCATCCCAGCTTCCCACAATTTTCTTTTAATTCTCACAACCTCACTCTTTATTTTATTGCTTTAATTTTTGCTTGAGTTTCCCTTTGTGGGTTTTCAACTCAACAAGCTCTTTTTTTTTATGTTTTAAGAAAATAAAATGAAAAAGAGTAGGATTGTGAGCATACCAGAACAATCTCTGCACCCCCACACTTAGTATCTGGCACTCTCCCTAGTGCCCGCCTAGACCTCCGCCTTGGTGTCTGTCCTCATCCATGTGATCCCCGCCATAACCACCATCATCGCCTCCACCACCGGAACTCGATCCTCCAAAGTAACCCCACTGAGAGGGGTCATACCATGATGGTGCGAGAGGGGGAGTGATCATAGAGGAAAAGGAGCCCTGGTGTGCTACATAGGAGTATATCGGACCAAAGGTTCGTCGTTGGTCCTCTTCATATCTCCGCCAGTCTTCCTGTCGTTGTTCCTCCATCCTCTCAAAGCTATGCCTCTACTCAGTTCTATACTGATCAACTCGCTCTTGAAGCAGGATTTAGTTGTTGTTGATCATGTTCATGTTATTGAGCATCTGTTGCTCGAATGGTGAGTATTGGTAGACTGGAGCATCAGGTTGTTGTTGTGGTGGGTTAGGTATGAAGGGCGGGTTTTCTTCAGCATGTTCTTGATCGGGTTCATCTTGTGCATAGTGCATCGGGATTGCCCCGGGGAGACAGTAGTGATGACCATCACCGATTTCATGGCCCACGATATCTAGAGGGACGTCAGGGGATGGGATATGGATAGATATGTTTTGACGTGGGATGATAAGCCAGTTGTAGATTGGTTTCCCATTAGGTGTCATGTGAGATAGAGCCAAATCTTTGGTCTTTTGTACAAGCCATGACGTGCAAATGAGCTATTTCGGAGTAATGGGGCTGGGTCTACAAAACCATATAAAGTGGCTAGATGTGTGATTAGGCAGGCCCCCTATCACAATTTGTCTGGATGACGTTGCCACATTTTTGAAATGAGTCCATAAGATAGAGGCAACGTCAACTGGTTCTGGTCCAGGTAAAACAGCTTGTGCCAGAACACACACATCCCACATTCTTGTGTGATGATTATTCGGTCTTCCGAGGAAACAATTTGAACAGAATTTTAAGAAAATTCGGAAGACCGGATGTTGAACACAGTTCACACTCAGCTTAGAAAGGTCCACCACACCTTGTCTTGTCATTCTTTTGCATAACTCATACCCCACAAGAGTATCATAAGCACGAGCTTCATCAAACAGAGGGAGGCCAAAATGATGTGCAAATTCTCTTTTGGTCTATGAACGATTTTCATTGAGTAAACAAAAGGTGATGGTGTCATTTGCATGATCATCATCATCCTTTGTATACACATATGAACTAAAGAATTCATAAACCAAATGAGGATAAGTCACATATTGCATTTCTAGCAACCTAGTCATTCCAATCCTTGCAAATATATCACGCATGATCATATCAATCCAAAGGAGTGCTAGAGTAGTAATGCACATGAACCGGGATTGTTTTACCTCCCTTTGTGCTTGTTCCTTAAAGAGTTGCTTATGTGTCTCCGTTGCAAATTCCACGCTTTCATAGCCCGCTACCGGTGGGATAGCCCTTGAAGAAGAAGCTTTGGATTTTTTTGGAGCCATGTGAATGGATTTTTTTAAAGGATTTTCGGACTTTTGGGTAGGGTGAGGTTTGGATGGCTTTTACGGGTATGGTGTTGAAGAGGATGGTGAGAAGAGCAAGAATATGGTATTGGTTGAGAATTTTTGGGAAGATTTCGGACCTTGAATGTCCAAGAATGGAGATTTTCGAATTGTTGGGTAGGGTTTTTGGGTTTGGTTGATTTGGAAGGTTTTGGGGGATTTTATGGGTATAGAAATGAATAAGGAAGTGAGGAGATGAAGAAAATGGGGGTTTTAGTGGATTTGGTTAAGGGAAGATGAAGATTTGAAGGTTTGGGTAGTTGAAAATGGTGGATTTTGGGGGTATAGGCGTAGGGAGGAAGATGAAGTGGGAGGGGAAGAGGTGAGCCCGACCTGGTATAGGTCTGTTTCCCGTTCGCCTGGTCAGGTGGGGTATTTTACCCGGTCGGGCGTACGCTGTTCACCCGAGGCAGAAGGTTTTTTGATGTGTTGCCCGGCCGGGTATAGTGACTGACCCGGTCGGGTGTAAACTGTTCACCCGAGGCAGAAAGTTTTTGTTGGGTTCCCCGGCCGGGTATAGGGGTCTACCCGGTCGGGCATTTGATTTATTCTTGTTCCGCTCTTGCCTCGCCCGGGCGGTTGGCCGGGTGCTTTGTTTTAGAGGTAACCCGACCGGGTTGGGTTTTATACCCGACCGGGTCCAATCCCAGTCCATTTTTTTTTTTATTTAATCACACACACGACTGAAAAAAATTGAAAATAAAAATGAAGAAATTGGGTTGCCTCCCAAGAAGCGCTTGATTTAATGTCGCGGCACGACGTTATTTTTATTTTCTTTTATGTGGGATCGTGAACATCCCTTGTTTCATTTTTCTTTTTCGGCCTTCTCCAGTAAGGCCGGGATTTCTTCTCTGTTATCACTTCAACCCCAGGTGGGATCCATTCTCCTTTTGAAAATTTGAACAATTCTTCTTTTTCAAAAAGTGTGATTTTCTCTTTTTTTTTCTCAACAAAAATATTCGGGGTTTGTGGTTCACAAACATTTAGAGAACAAAGAGATTGGTCTTTAATTTGTTTTTTCGTAGAATCAAAAATGTTGAATTCTACCTTTTGATCATCAAACTCTAAAGTTAACGAACCATTAGACACGTCTATTTTTGTTTTTGCGGTTTTTAGAAAAGGTCTACCCAAGAGGATGGGTGTAGTTTGGTTATCATCTCGCATTTCCAGAACATAAAAATCAACAGGGAAAATCAAATTTTCTACTTCTACTAGCACATCTTCTACTACACCCTTCGGGTAAGTATTAGACTGATCCGCTAGTTGAATCACTACACCAGTTTGATGTAGTGGGTCGAGTTGTAAGGATTTATATAAGGAATAAGGAATGACATTTATTGATGCTCCTAAATCCAACAAGGCCTTAGAAAATAAGGTATCCCCTATTTTGCAAGGAATAGTGAACATGCCTGGATCGCTACATTTCTCAGGGAGTTTCTTTTTAAAAATGGCCGAGACACGTTCACTAACCTCAACCTTTTGTTTCCCTTCCAGTTTATTTTTCTTTTTCATTGTGCATAGTTCCTTTAAGAACTTTGCATAACGGGGAACACTTTTGATCAGTTTGAAGAGTGGGATGTTTACCTCAGAATCGACAAAGGTTTCGTAGATGTCCCTATCATTCTTCAGCTTCCTCGTGTCTTTCAATGCCTCAGGGAATGGAGGGAGTGGTTAATATGATGATAGTGGAGGGAATTTAGTTTTCGTTGGCTCCCCCTCTTCCGTTTGAAAACCTTCTCCAAGATCAACCTCTTGCTTCTCCTCCTTATCTTCCCGTGCTAGCAATTCTTCACCGCTCCTCAACATGATTGCATTGACATGTTGTCTTGGGTTTTGCTCAGTTTGGGAGGGGAGCCTACCCGAATCTTTTGCCTCGAGTCGACTTACGACACTCGAAATTTGGCTAACTTGAGTTTCCAAATTTTGAATGCTCGACTTGGTTTCATGTTGGAATTGCATCATGGTTTGTTGGAATTGCCCTATGCTTTGCTGCATTGTTCCCATATTAACGGCCAGTGCTCGAATCATGTCTTCGGTGGACATACTCGAGTTCGATGGTTGACCTTGTTGTTTATATTGTTGAGGAGGAGGATTTGTTTGAGAATTTCCGTACCTTAAATTCGGATGATCCCTCCATCCTGGTTTGTAAGTATTGCCTTGAGGATCGTACCTCCTTTGACCTTGGAACCCCAAAGCATTGACTTGCTCGGAGTTCTCTTCTTGTAGCGTTGGGCAGGAATCAGTGGGATGCCCATGTGTTGAACATATGCCGCAGACCTTGGCTTCTTGGGTTTTCGTATTTAAGAGAAAATCTTTAACCAAAGAAGTCAAGCCGGCCACTTGACTTTCTAACGAATTGTTGGATTCCGCTGCCATGACTCGTTTCGATGATGACCTTCCGTTGTAATGTCTCGAATTTTCGGCCAACTCCGAAATGAGGTCTCTTGCTTGAGAAGGGGTTTTGTTAACAATACCCCCTCCGCATGCCGCATTCACCATGCGTCTATCTTGATCAACAAGTCCATCATAGAAGTAGAGGATGAGATCTTGTTCCGAATACCCATGATATGGGCAACTAGCACATAATTTTTTTAAGCGCTCCCAATATTCATACAAGGTCTCATTATCTTCTTGCTCAATGTTGCTGATTTGCTTCTTGAGACTTGAAGAGATATATGCGGGATAGTACCTGTCAAGGAAGCGCTTTTTCATTTGAGCCCATGTATTGATGCTCCCCGAGGGAAGATAGAATAGCCAATCTTTGGCGGTGTCTTTGAGGGGGAATGGGAAGGCTCTCAGCTTGATTTTCTCCTCGGACACGCCATTGGGGCACATGCTCGTGCACACAATATGGAACTCTGACAAGTGTTTGTTCGGATCTTCCCCTCGTAGGCCATGGAAAGAGTCAAAGAGGGAAGTAGATGAATGAGCCCAGATTTTAGCTCGAATGCGACCCCCGTATCAAGAGTTGGAAAAGTGATACATAAGGGTTGTTGATTTAGATTTGGAGCCGTGAGCTCCCACAACGTTCTTGTTTCAAGAGCCATATTGATTGGCTCTTCGGTGTCGCTAGAATGAGAACTAGCACTTGATGATTTCTCCGAAGAAGTATTCGGAAATAAATTCCTAAACCTCTCGAAGGCTTGTTCTGTTTCGGGCTTTGTTTGGTAGCTGATTTGATTTATAGATCGGTGTTTAACCATATACTCAAATAAAGCTCAGAAGAATAGAAATCTAAGAACTCTTTATATTTTATTTATTTAATTTTTTTTTTGATTTTTCTTGAAATAGAATAAAAAGAAAAATTAATTACCTTTCCCCGGCAACGGCGCCAAATTTTACGAGCACTTTGTCACGGTGCGTCAAAATAATTTTCAATACTAACACTTATACGTAGTATAGCGTAGTAGAGTTCGTATCCACAGGGAAAGGAATAATTCTCTTTTTATGAAACTTAGTAAATAAAGGGGGGATTTGGATTGAGTGATTTAATTTAATTAAGAACTAAGATGAACAACCTATATGTGTTTAATTCAAAGATAAAAAGGACTTGGCATTGCTACTTTCCACTTGTTGATATATTTTAGTCGATCATTGTTATATCTATAACTTATTCCCTCTCGAATACTCAATCGGGGAGTATATCCACTTCATCGAGGGTAGTTATTAACAACGACCGTTCATTAATAACCCTTACTATTAATCAAATATAGAACAACGCCTTATACCGATTTAATAGTAGCATTTAATCTTTCTAACTCCATGATCAAATCAATTGAGATTGATAACCTCAACACAACGGTTTCGGTTTAACCAACAAAATTAATCCCTCTTAAGTTTATTAACCACGACCGTGCATTAATAAACCGAAGTTACTTACTTGTGAAACCATCAACGATTAACCATCGGTTCGTTGATCGTTTCTAGTAATAATTAATATATGAAACAAAACTAGTTGATCCTTTAAGTAATGTTCAAAATATTAATATGAAATATGAGTAGGAATTAATTAATATTCAAGGAAGAATATTATTAATGAAGATGAATCCTACTATAATTAATATCAAGATGTTAACTAATTGTCATCTTAGCAACATTCCCCAACATTAATATAGAGGAAGAAAATACCATTCTAACTAATGTCGAGATGTTAACTAATTGTCAACTTAGCAACACTCCCCAACATTAATATAGAGATGGTATTAAGGAAAGAAACTATTAATTAATATTCAAGGAAAGAAGTTAAGAAAATAACTCACAACTTTAATAATCAACAAGCTTCAAGAGCAACACCAAGAATGGAAGTTTAGCTCCTCATTTGGAGACTAAACATGATATAAAAATATAAGAAATGCTATTCTAAACGGAGCTTAGGAGTATAGAAGAAGGGATGATTTTAGAGAAAAAAAGAGTGTTATTTATAGGTGTTTTCAACAACTTTGGCCGGGTACCCGACCGGGTCAAGTGCTTACCCGACCGGGTCCGGTCAAAATCAGATATTTCACCACGTTCTGGTGATCTTCGCACACCGGGTTGTCCCCGGTCACTTCTCACCCGACCGGGTGAGATATGGGACCCGACCGGGTCCAGCTCTTTCCTCAGCGGTTCGGTTTTCAAATCAGACCTGACCGGGTGAAGTTTCCTACCCGGTCGGGTATTTGCTCCTGGACAGTCAAAATTCCTTTTTCTTCACTTCAACGTCCTCCTTTCCAACATCCTAATTCCTAATTCTACTTTACAACTTACAAATGAGAACTAAAATACAATTACAACTAAAATCACACAAATGTTTACAAACTAAATAAAACGTCAAACGATCACCATCAATGAAACATAAAAACATATAATTATGCACTACTAATTAGTGTGCATCAGGCGGCGTTGGACGCACGTCCCTTGATGACGATGGCGCTGATGAAGTCGTACGTCATATGAAGGACCAGGCTTTGACCTTGGTTTGAAGATGGAGGACGGCGCTGGACGCACATCCCTTGATGACGTTGGCGTTGATGAAGTCGTACTTCATATGAAGGACTAGGCTTTGACCCTGGTTTGAAGATGGAGGACGGCGCTGGGGACGCTCGTCCTTTGATGACGATGGCGTTGATGATGACGTACGTCATATTGAGGACCAGGTTTTGCCCCTGGTTTGAAGGTGAAGGGCGGCGCTGGACACACGTCCCTTGATGACGCTAGCATTGATGAAGTCGTACGTCATATTGAGGACCAGGTTCTGACCCTGGTTTGAAGATGGAGGACGGCGCTGGGGACGCTCGTCCTTTGATGATGATGGCGTTGATGACGCCGTACGTCATATTGAGGACCAGGTTTTGACCCTTGTTTGAAGATGAAGGACGACGTCGGTGACGCTCGTCCTTTGATGAAGGACAAGGCATTGGCGTCCGTCTGATCCGCATGTAAGGTCTTGCTTCGTCCATAATGCATAGTATTTGCCTGATATGTACTTATCCAAATATGTGGCTTGATTTATGGGGATTTTATTTTTATTGCTCGAGGCCGGTGAGTGCACGATCCTTCGGCTGTCCCTCGTTTATCTGTGGGGATTTCGTTCGAGGATGGCGAGTGCACGGTTCTTCGGCTTTCTCTCTTTTATTTCTTCCTCTTTACTTCTTTGAGCGAGGAGTGGGTATTTTTCTTTCAGGCTCGGCCGAGGGGGTTGCTATTCCCTCGGCCGGTAGGGAGTCCACGGGGGCAGTTGTTATCCTCTGGCGGTGGATCGTCCCTAAATCTCGAGGCATCCCGTCGTCTATTTACGGAGCGGGCTAGGCTTTTGGTCGGTTACCGATGGCTTCCTTTTTCCAACCCCAAATGTGGGGATTTTGTCATCTCGGCCATTCTTTCAGGCTTGTCGCCGTGCGATTTAGCGCGAGGACAACGCGGTGAGCTTCCCGTTTCAAGACGCGGGCCATTTCGCAATTCCCTCATCGTGGGACATCGTCGGCCATACCTGAGCGTTACGCTCTAAGGGGCCGAAACAATGTTCTTTGTTATGTGGCATCCTTTACTTAAATTTACAAGAAATAAGCGGAACACAATAGGTGCGTTGTTCATGGCAACGACTTGTATTAAGATCAAATTACTTCTGAATTTTTAAATTTGTATATACTTTTGAATTTTTTATAGTTCTCAGTAGTTTAGTGTTTTATGATACTAATTTATTTACTTGTGGTGTACATAGGAGCAAATTCAATGACTAATTGGCGGATGCTCTGCTCAATTGCTCAAACATGGAAACAGTAAAGTAGTCAAGTAGATGTGAAGATTTGAAGATGTGAAGACTTGTTAAAATGTTGAATGTTGTTAAACTTTTTGTTGGTATTTACTATTTTGGAACTTTGGATTACTCAAACTGTCAATTCTCAAACTGCATTATGTAAAAGAGTATTAATGTACAAACTATACTATTTTGCAACTTTGGAGTTGTACAAACTCTACTATTTTGCTACTTCTTATGACATTATAGATTTATGCATGTTAAAATGTGTATTATTCTATTAGTTTTAATGGTTTTTAATCAACCCGAATGGACCTGAAAAACCGATTGAACCTGACCGGAATCCGAAATTGTGCAACCCGATTAGCCTGAAACCCTTTTTTGATAGAGTAGGGTTTCAAATTGTAGATCCGATAACCGAATGGGTATGCCAAATCCCAACCCGTCCTACCCGAACCCATCCGATGCTCCCCCGCTAAGATCAATGGCTCGAGGCCGAGGGTCGTAATCTTCTCAACAACCCATTTAGGAGTTAGCTTCTCAGCAAGCTTCTGACCTTGGGGTGGGGAATCTGCCCGTCTGTACCCTCTTCAGATCGCTGATAGAACTTCACCCAGATGTAGGGCCCTTCGTATCTTGAGGGCTAAGCCGTCCGTCGGCTTGCTGGCAGAACTTCACCATGTAGGCTCTGTCACCCGTCGACTTGCTGGCTTCCCTTCGGCGAAGGACATAGTCAGTGGATGTGGCGCTTCTTCAGCTAGGGCTCCTCGAAGTCCTCGTCATCCCTGAGCCTCCAAATTTCAAACTTCTTTGTCGAGGTGTCCCCTTCCTGATTGTCAGTGTTCACCCAAGTGTTTTCCTTGGGGCACCTTTAACAAATTGGTGAAATTCACCCCGTTCAATCAAGTGATCAATGGCTTTCTTTGACGCGACGCAATCGTCTGTGTCGTGGGAGGTGTTCTTGTGGTAACGACAATAAGTGCCGCTCTGGTGGATGGTGTAGATTTCTTTCACCGACCGAGGATCCCTAGGAAGGAGATCATGTTCCTCTGCATAGTCAAGGATGGTGCTCACCGAGTGTGTGAGGGGAGTCCTTGGCATGTCCAACCTCGGCCGCCATAGGCGCTCCGTCCGGCCTTGGCGGGCCTAGCCTCCATGATCTCAGCCCCCGACCAAGGGTGCGCTTGAAGCCGGCGCATTGTTTATCTTCTTTGACTGCTGGCCTCCATCCTTCTTGTGGGAGTGGAGCTCGTCGGCGTCAGCATACAGGCTCCCTCGCTGGAGTGCCTTGGTGTATGACCTTGGTGGGTCGGTGATGAGGCTCCGTGCGTAGGGGCTGCTGTGGAGAACGCCCTGGAAGAGGTCGAGGAGGATGCGCTCATCGGCACCTTCGACCTCGTCTGTCCTTCGCCCATCGGTCGATGAAAGACTGGAGTGATTCATCGTGTTGCTGTTTGACAGAGAGGAGATGGGAGAAATGTTTCTTCATGCGCTTTCTTTTGGCGAAGTAGGTGAGGAAGCGTTGAGCAAGATCCTGCCATGAGTCCAAGCTTCCTTCGGGCAGCGCGTTGAACCACTCGTACGTTGGTCCCTAAAGTGTGGAGAGGAACCAACGGCATAGGTATTCATGAGACACGTTCACCATCGGCATGTTGTTCTGATAGCGGAGCAAATGCTAATGGGGGTCGGTGCGGCCGTCATAGGGCTTGATGGCACTCCCACGGTACTTCTTGGGTATTGGGGCCAAGAGCACCCTTGTGGTGAAGGGAGTTTTTGTTCTGATTTGGATGACGGGGTCACCACGTCCGTCGGCCAGCTCCCGCTCCAGGGTGCTGACCTTGTGCAAGAGGTCGTTGAAGCCGGGATCCCTAGACGCAGCGGCCGTACGTGCCTCGTCCATTTGCTTTGCTTCCATCTGAGCGAGCCTCCTTTCAAGTTGGGTGATGACTGACGAGCATTTTGTCACGGTGCGTCAAAATAAATTCAATACTAGCACTAATACGTAGTATAGGTGAAGTAGAGTTCATATCCACAGGGAAAGGAATAATTGTCTTTTTATGAAACTAGTAAATAAAAGGGGGGTTTTGGGATTGAATGATTTAATTTAAAAACTGAGATGAACAACCTATATGTGTTTTAATTCAAAGATAAAAGAACTTGGCATTGCTACTTTCCACTTGTTGATATATTTTAGTCGATCATCGTTATATCTATAACTTATTCCCTCTCGAATACTCAATCGAGGAGTATATCCAATTCATCGAGGGTAGTTATTAACAACGACCATTCATTAATAACTCTTACTATTAGTCAAGTATAGAACACCGCCATATACCGACTTGATAGTAACATTTAATCTCTTAACTCCTTGATGAAATCAATTGAGATTGATAACCTCAACACAACGGTTTCGGTTTAACCAACAAAATTAATCCCTCTTAAGTTTATCAACCACGACCGTGCATTAATAAACCGAAGTTACTTACTTGTGAAACCATCAACGATTAACCATCGGTTCGTCGATCGTTTCTAGTAATAATTAATATATGAAACCAAACTAGTTGATTCTTTAAGTAATGTTCAAAATATTAATATGAAATATGAATAGGAATTAATTAATATTCAAGGAAGAATATTATTAAAGGAGATGAATCCTACCATAATTAATATCAAGATGTTAACTAATTGTCATCTTAGCAACACTCCCCAACATTAATATAGAGGAAGAAAATACTATTCTAACTAATGTCAAGATGTTAACTAATTGTCATCTTAGCAACACTCCCCAACATTAATATAGAGATAGTATTATGGAAAGAACTAATAATTAATATTCAAGGGAAGAAGTTAAGAAAATAACTCACAACTTTAATAATCAACAAGCTTTAAGAGCAACACCAAGAATGGAAGTTTAGCTCCTCATTTGGAGACTAAACATAGCTAGAAACATATAAAGAAATGCTATTCTAAACCGAGCTTAAGAGTATGGAAGAAGGGATGATTATTTGTGAAGAAAAGTGTGCTATTTATAGGTGTTTTTCAACACCTTGGGCTGGGTACCCGACCAGGTCAAGTGCCTACCCGACCTGGTCCGGTCAAAATCAGATAATCTTCCACGTTCTGGTGATCTTCGGCACGTTCTGGTGTTCCGGGTCAAGTCTAACCCGACCGGGTGGAATAGGGGACCTGACCGGGTCCAATGATATTCCAGGCAATTTCGGTTGTTAAATCAGACCCGACCGGGTGAAGTCTTCTACCCGGTCGGGTAATTGCTTCTGGACAGTCAAAACCCCTTTTTCTTCATTCAAAGTCCTCCTTTTCAACACCATAATTCGTAATTCTACTTTATAACTTACAAATGAAGGTTAAAATACAATTACAACTAAAATCACACAAATGTTTACAAACTAAATAAAACGGAAAACATTCCACACAAATCAAACATAAAAAGATACATTTATGCACTAGTAATTAGTGCATATCAATGACCTCGTCCCGGGGGTCCTTGGCGGCCGTGGTGGCGCCTTGGGTTTGGTTGCAGGCTGCGTGAGATGCATTGATCTGGTGACGTATGTCCCCTTTATGCAACTTGCCCTTGCCCTTGTCAAGACGGGCCAATCCGTTGACCGGGATACGGACCCCAAGCTCTCCTTTGGTGAGCCAGGCTCACGTCCCGCCGTCCGTCCCGCTAACCTCTCTGACGCTAGCCGACGATGTGCGTCCCCTAGCTCATTAAAGGTCGGGGCTCTATGCACTGGGGTCGGTCCAACTCGGGGACGGGAAGCAGGGTTTGAATGGGACGAAGAAGTGTCCTGGGGCTCGACCCCCTCGACGTTGCCAATCTTCATGACCAACGGCTGAGGTGGGGTGGTGGTGTAGTGTTCTCCTCCATCCTTGGCATCAGTGCGCTGAGGACGGTGGGATTCTGAGCCAGGCTAGCTATGATGGCCGATAGAGCGGCCTGGAGTTGAGGGTCGACAGCAGGAGTAATCTGTTGCCTCGAGGCGTTGTCGCCTTTCTCAATGTGTTTCTTCTCAAGGCCGATGTGGGCGTCTTGAGCGTTGTCGTTAAGCTGATCGCGGAGGTAAGCCATGGGGACGATCGTCTCATGGAAGATCTCCTCGTCCCCTGCCTTGTCGGCCGTAGCATCGCCAGAGCGTTCACGATCGTCCTGAGTTTCAGAGACCGCCTTGCCGATGAGGTTACGGTTCGACCTTGTTCTTCCCATATTCAGTTAGCTGTGCTTGGTAGCAACGAAGGATGCTAACTTGATTGTTCTAGCTCTCAATGAAAGCATCAAATGATAGCTTATATTTATAGAGAGAAGTGAGAGTTAGAGAGAGAAGTGATTTGTATTAATGATCTTCGAACCCTTACAACTACTCCCCAGGGGAGTATTTATAGGGAAAATATGGGCTGGGCTCCCAAGTCATTACAATATAAGGCCTCTATTGGGCTGAGTACATTCGAATATATTAGCTAAGTATGGAAGTCTTGCTCTGTGAGCTCCCTGTGGCCGACGGACGTGTGGCTAACGGAGGTGTGACAGACGAAGGTCTGGGAGACGAACGTCTGGCTAACGGAGGTGTGGCAGAAGAAGGTTTGGGAGACGAGCGTCTGGATGACGGAGGTGGTGATGAAGGTCATACGTCCCCGGGGGACCGTTGTGTACTGAAGTCGTACGTCCCCGGGGGGACCACTATGCGTTGAAGGTCGTACGTCCCCGGGGGATCGCTATGTACTGGAGGCCGTACGTCCCCGGGGTCTTGTTTGTAGTAGTGAAAGTATGTGGGTCATGGGGTCTAGACCTATATACTCCATCAATGACTTTCCCTTAAATTTTATATAATCGACGCACATCTAATTTTAATACACACTTCCACACACTTTCAAAGTGCGTTTAAAGAAACCCTTAGAATTCTCCAAGTATTGTGAAAATATTAGGCTAAATTGATGTATTTGGTGAAATACATAAAAGAATGTGGGTGAATTGTGTATGAAGAACTATGACTATTTTCACGCATTTCTCGAGGGAATTTGTGAACTTTTTCAGTAAAAACTTTCAACACAATTACAAGATTGATCAACTCGTAAGCTACCTTATCTTAAAGATAAGGAGCCCCTCGAATTTATCTCAAAGATAAGGAGTATATATTATGAGAACACTTTTGTGCACGTGTGGTCTCATATGATTTTAATAATATACTTTCCAATAAAAAATATTAAATTTGCATTTCAAATACAGAATTTTAAAATTGCTTTTTAAAGGATGCCGTTAAGGCTCCTTTTGTGGATAATGGCCAATATTATATAATATTAAAATGTTTTAAAAGAATGTATATGTTCTTTTGGAAAATGGTGCAATGTTTCATTATGGTGGACTTAAGTAACTTAACTACCATGCAACCAATTTTACTTATAAATGGTGAATGAAGTATGATATACGGCAAATTAACTTTGTCATTCTACTCCAATTTGTCACGCTTTGTTTTATTATATGCAGTAATAATATAAAAGTATTTAGACCACTTAATATACAATCACTTGTTCGGTGTTATTTTATCGGTAACTAAAATACACCATACACCTTCTTTTTATCCCAAAAGTTCTATCATGTAAGTTGTAACCCCGTTACTGTAATAAGGGTAGATAGTAAACTTTTAGGAAAACGTATTTATACGTGACTAGAAGTGATATCCGGTACAACCATATTTATACACCCTTATAATATACTCCCACACACTCATCAGATGATGGAGTATATAGACTCAGACCCCAGGTCTCATGACTATTGGGCCTGGACAGCGGCCCACACACTCTTATCAGATGTCATTTGTATTATTGTAGAGTTCATGTATCATTTGTATGTACTAAATTAGTCTTTTATGTAGTTGGGCCTATCGGGCCCATATTAGCGCCCCAACCCATTATTTGTCTATTTATACTCCCTTTGGGAGACTTGTAACCCTAATTCCCAACTCCTAGAACATAATTACTCATTCACACTCTACTATTCATCATCTTCTTCCTCTCTTTAGCTCAATCTCTCCTAATCATTATAGTTTGGATACCCTATAATCCATCACTATTTTTATCTTCAAGTTCTAACAATCTAAAAGTTTACAATTATAAAAATATGGCCGCTACTCAACGCGATATCATCAACACCAATTTTCAAAAATGGGAAAAGTTTGAAGATATGGATTTTCGAAGGTGGCACAAAAAGATGCATTTTCTGCTCACTACTTTGAAAGTGGTCTATGTGTTAAGCACCCCGAGGCCTCCCGAGGAAGAGGAAAATGAAACTTTGGAGATAAGTTGCCACCGCATAAAGTGGGACAATGATGATTATATCTGTCGTGGACACATTTTGAATGGTATGTGTGATTCTCTTTTTGATGTGTATCAAAATGTTGAATATGCTAAAACGTTGTGGGAATCTCTTGAATCCAAATATATGATCGAAGATGCTTCAAGTAAGAAATTTCTCATTAGTAACTTTAATAATTACAAAATGGTGCATTCTCGTCCGGTCATGGAGCAATTTCATGAAATTCAACGTTTATATGATCAACTTTTGATTCATAATATGCATGTTAATGAAACCTTTGCGGTCGGTTCTATTATCGACAAATTACCACCTTCATGGAAGGAAGTGAAAAATAGCTTCAAACGCAAAAAGGAGGGTTTGTCAATGGAGCAACTTTGTCACCGACTTCAAATTGAAGAAGGCATTAAGTTGCGTGAATGTGGAGGAGAGACAGTCAAGTGGGACTAAGAAAAATAAAAAACGTCCCGGGAAATTCACCGAAGGTCCCAAGTTTCAAAAGAAGCCGAAAGATAAGAAAGTAGGCTCTTGTTGGGAATGTGGTGGTCCACATTTCAAGAGGGACTACCCGAAGGTGAAGAAGAAGGCCCAACCGAACGGCCATCGAAATGGTGGCCAAGACAACCAAGGTCAGAATCCTTTTTTAGATACAAATGATGTTGATAGCAACATAATTTTTGTAGCTATGCTTTCTGAAATTTGTGTTGTGCAGGATGATGAATCTTGGTGGATTGACACCGGAGCAACAAGGCATGTATGTAAAGATAGGCAAGCTTTTAAGACTTTAAAAGAGTTGCAAGAGGGGTCGATCTTATACATGGGAAATGACTCTACTGTGCAAATTCAAAGAATTGGGCAAGTAGAGTTGGAATTATCTTCCGGAAAGAAATTAATCCTTAATGATGTGTATTTTGTACCACAAATCTGGAAAAATCTTGTCTCTGGTAGCATCCTAAATAACTTTGGGTATAAACTTAGCTTTGAAGCAAATAAGTTTGTCTTATCTAAGGGCGGTGTATTTGTTGGCCAAGGTTTCTATTGTGATGGCATGTTCAAACTAAGTGTTGTAAATAAAGTTTCCATATGAAGTTTCCATATCTAATTTGGATTGGCAGGATCAATTAGTCCATATGAAAGTAAGAAGGGATTCTTTTTCTGGCTGGATCACTGCTGTTTATGGCAGACATAACTATCTACAAAGAAGAAGTTTATGGACCTCTCTGGTTAGTATTTCTACTACTATGAATGAGCCTTGGATTGTTGGGGGAGATTTTAATGCTATAGCAAACCATAGTGAGCACCAAGGCAGATCTATTCCTAATCTAACAAGTATGTTAGAACTTTCAGAATGCTTATCTTCCTGTGAGCTGATTGACCTACCTTTTTTGGGCTCAAGTTTACTTGGTCAGGAGTTAGATCCAATGGTTGACTCTAAGTTTATGGACTTTTGGAGTCAAACTCAGATTTCTATTTTGGAGA